CAAAAGTAACACAGCTGTTTGCAGTTTCCCCCACGTTCCCTGCCGTTCCTCCCCCTGACACTTTCTGCTCCCCCCGCTGCTTGGAAGACCCACTCCTGACCCCCTTCAGCGTCCCTTCGTCTTGGTTATAGTCTCACCAGCACTGCAGACTCGCACAAAGGCCTAAGGAGCACAAGTAAAGACCGTGGACACTGTGCAGAGAACCGGCAGCCTCAGGGCCCATCATTTACAAGTAAAGCAACAGGATCATGATTTCCATTGAGTTCAGCTCTGTGGCGTAAGTAATCCATCTAGAATTTCTGGGAGTATAACATTTACAATCTGGCATAATCACTGGAGGAATGAAAAGGAGCAAGGAAAATTCAAATTTAGACTACACTGTGTCCGGTCACTCAACAAGACCTATGAAAGGTACCAAGTAGGTACTAGGAATCCCCACAGTTCCCTGCTGTCATGAAACGTCTGCTGACAACTTTAATTCACTTCAGACTTCTCAGTGAATCTGGTTAGTATTTATGCTCCTTTTAGACTCGAGAACAATCTAATCAATTTGCTATGCAGGCAGCAGGATGACAGTGAGTTTTGGTCTCTCACAAAGGCTACCTTTTCATTGCTAGGGTCACACCTAGAATTTCAGGGCAAGTCTTACTTCATTTAGACAGTGCAGAGAAAAATACGTTGGAATCTGACACTACTAATTTCAGTTAGGAGACTGCAGGCTTTTGAATCTGTGCAAGAAAAAAAGCCAACTCTGAGCTTGCAATGCTGAGGACACACAGTAGATCAAATTCTCAATATCCAACTGGTCTCCATTAAATGACAGTGAATCTGAATTATCTGCGGAGTGAGGACGAGACATTATGCAGAAGTGAAACGTTCAAGACTGTCTAAGTCACTAGTCACCCAAGCTTATGAGATGCTTTCGAGAAAATTCAGAGTCAGATTTAGCTTTTGCTCAGAGCTTTCACTTTATATTTGTAGTATTAACCAACAACCAAGAGAATGCCAATGGGCGAGACATACACGGCCCAGGATTTGGAAAATGGGTGTTTAACCTTTTAAATATCTGACAAAGCAATGCTTGGTTAATCAAGAAGTTTGGAGAAGGGAAGTATTTTGAAAAACAAGCAGAAAAACAGCTTTTAAAAGGCATCGCTTTATAAAAATTAGGCTTTAACAATAATTTTAGTCAAAAGGACATGTGTGAGTGCTATAATTAAAATAAATTCAGCTTCATTTCATGAATTCAGTTCTTTTTAAGACTTTATTTATTTATTTGACAGAGAGAGAGACAGTGAGAGAGGGAACACAAGCAGGGGGAGTCGGAGAGAGAGAAGTAAGCTTCCCACTGGGCAGGGAGCCTGATGCGGGGCTTGATCCCAGGACCCTGGGATCATGACCTGAGCCGAAGGCAGACGCTTAACGACTGAGCCACCCAGGCGCTCCATTCAGTATTCAACAAATATTTATTGAATGCTATGTTCAACAACTGGGAGAAATGGAATCCTAAAGACCGAGGTAACACACCCCTGAGACACTTCAACATTAACCATTCTCTCTTTTTCAAGGGGAGGTGTTGTGAAGAATAACGGAATTTAAGAACATATCTCCTCAGGAATGGGGATCTCCAAGCCTCTTTCCTTTGCTATCTGTCATTTGGAGGTAAGTCCTAACTACAGAATAAAGGAACACAAAATACACATAGATATGGTAAGTATATGTCCAAGGGACACGGGACAATCTCAATTTTAAATATCCATTCCCGGGGCACCTGGTGGCTCAGTAGGTTAAACGTCTGACTCTTGGTTTCAGCTCAGGTCATGATCTCAGGGTCATGGGATTGAGCCCCGTATGGGGCTCAGCGGGGAGTCTACTTGTCCCTCTCTCTCCCCCTCTGCCCCTCCCCCGGCTTGTGCCATGTGCACACGCGTGCTCTCGCTCTCTCTCTCAAATAAATGAGAAATCTTTAAATATCCATTCCCATTTTCTCTAAAAGTATGCTTGTATTAGTCTGATTATATGGCCCAGTTTGACTTAGGAAATACAGTCAGCTTGGTGGGCCCTGAGAGAGGGCATCTACTGAGCCCCTGGGTTCTCTCAGAGGAAGGACAGGAAAGGGTGAACTAAAGCCCCTTAAGCATCACTCAATTCAGGGATCATAAAGGCAAAGCTACGGCTCTGAAGCTCTTTGAGCGGAACTCTTAAGAGAGGACAGAGCAAAGGAAACCAGACAGTGTACTTTCGGGAGGGGAGCTCTGGAGAGACATTTCTTTGGAATTTGGTAGGAAGTGAAATGTGACAACGTGGAGGAAGGAAGAAAGAAGCTCATCTTGACCTTTACTTGAAGGTCGGGAGGACTTACACAAAGACTTGCATCAACATCAGATCCTTCATTTCAGAGCTGTAAGGAGCCCTGGTGTCATTTTCTTTCTTTTTTTCTTTCTTTGACAGAATGAACCATCCCATTCTTGGGGAATGGTCTTGGATATCTTTCAGGAGAAAGTGGTTATCATTGTACCACAAGTACATGAACTGGTTTATTCATGTACAGCTTCAGGGCTCCTGGCTGGCTTAGTCAGAGGAGCATGCGACTCTTGATATCAGGCTCATGGGTTTGAGCCCCACGGTGTGTGTAGAGATTACTTAAAACAAAAAACAAAAAACAACTTAAAGAATACTGCCTCAAGTCAAGGTACGTTCCAGGGAATATGCCACAATTCTATGTAAATTCTGTTTACATAGAATGACTCTTTTTTATTCTCTGGTGCAAGGGTTGGCTATTTTGAGTCAGAAAATCTGGACCGGAAGTTGGTTCTGCCACTGGCTGATTGTGAAATCTGGGTCAAGCCCTTTGAACCTCTGTGAACCAGCATTTCTCCGTCCATCTTCTTGACAGAGCTTTAAGGGAGATTAAATGACCCAAAATACATTAAAGTGCTCTGGAAATGATGAAATGATAGTTATCAGTACTCTTTACCAACACCCTTTGGTCTGGTTGTCATGGTACAGAAGCAAAGTGTGCCAACAACACATAAGACAAAACTCTTACCCAATGACATGGAAAGATATATTGCATAATGGCAACAATCCTATTGTACAAAAATATTTTTATTCCTGGGTAACATCAAATTCTACTTATTATGCCAATCCCAACTTTTCCTTCTTATTTGACTCTGACTCCTAAAATAACTATAGATTTAACCTAGATGGATACTAAGGAGGATCCTCAATAAAGGAAGGGGAAATGTATCTACCATCATCTTCAGTGCCAGTCTTACAAATAAGGCCAAAAATAATGTTCCGTATTGCCTCCTGGACAGTACTCATGGGACAACCTTGCTGTATTCTTAAAGTGAGGTTTTTACCAAACATTTCCTGATTACCCCCTAAGTATTCACACTGTGCCAGGAACTCTAGGGGACCATTACGAGGATGAAGACACAGTCCTTGACCCAAAGGCATTCACGGTCTTGTTAGAGAGAGGCAATGGGAATAACTAATAAAAAGGCAAACCAGTCAGGGAGTTCTCTGAGAAAGGTTCACATGACTCAGAGAATATAGGCAAAAGATCGATTACTTCCAAATGTCGGGATCTAACAGTGCTCTATGGAGAAGATTATTTTGAGGAAGGTCATGGTGGATGGGTAGGACTCCCTCATCAGATATGGAAGGGATGGGGGTTAGTGGGTAGGCTGAGAAGCAAGCTTGAGCTTGACTCAGAAAGTGGATGAGAGCAGGATGTATTCAGAAACAGCTGCTACAGCAACGTGGCTGGAACACAGGCACAAAGGAAGATAATGTTGTAAAAGGAAGTCAAAAGAAAATTCTGGAAGGTTTTAAGTGCTCAGCTGAAAAGCTGGATTGTTTTTTTTTTCTAGATGCAGAAATGCAATGAAGGAAGAATGCCATGAAGGGTCTTGGTTCCGGAAAGATACACAATTCAGGTCGGTATGGAGGATTTATTGGAGGGGCGAGAAAGAGAGTAAAGAGAAGACAACTGGATAAGAGCATGGCCACAGGTCAGGGGTTTTAAGAGCTAGATGGAGGACAGTGGCGGTAGAAAGCAATGGATGAATGGCAGTTCGCTTTTTCATCTTGAGGTGACCTACTCCCCCCCAGGGCACCAGTTCTCAGACACACTGCGCTGTCTAGATTCACAGGTCTTGGTGCCTTGGGCTAAAGCGAAGAGATAAAGGTTCTTAAGTCCCACAAATTTGAGCAACTGCTCCTTTAAAGACTTGCCTGGTGGCATTTGTCTAAAGAAGGCACAGTGAGGTAGAAGTGATCATACGTAAAAGCCTTTCTTAACCAAGAGACCTGTGATATAATAAATGTAACACAAAAGTCAATGTCCAATGATTTCTATTTTCCTGACACCACAGAGTACCCCCAGATTTTGACACCTGTGTCCTCTCTGCTGTCATTGTGAATCTTCTTCAGGCTTTTCACTTCTAGGGTTTCTATTTCTCCGCGAACAGCTTTTTCAGATGATGACTGACAACTGGAATGGTCTCACTAACCTGCTATGATGGTGAGCATTAACGATTTCCGTGTTTGAGGATGGAAAATAAGATGAATGAATTCGTTCCCAGATCCGACCAAGCCAACGAACCTACTTTCTTAAATGCTTTGAGATAGACAATATGGCCAAATATATGTACAAATCATATAATCGTGAAATTAAAGGACTTGCTTTGTTCTTAAATTCTATTCTCAAATACATAATCAAAGCCTCTGAAACACATGCAACAAATCAGTCACCATCATTAGCATTAATTCCTCTCACCCCTAAATTAGGACTTCTTAATTATACTATCGCATTCATTTTCTTCTTGCAGGTAACAAAAAAGGAGAGAGAGAGAATCTGTAAATGGAGCTAAACAGATTATTGTAGAAAACAATTAGACACAGAATGACTAAGTGAAGATTCCTGGTGCTTTTCTATGTGCGCACGTGTATGCACTCTGCATACCAATGACAAAGCTAGAAAGAAAACTCACCTGTTTTCTTCCTCAAGATCTGCTAGGATTCTCTCTAGCTCCCCTCTTTCCTCACTCTCTAAGGAAATCAAGATCTGGGCAGGACTACGAGGCTGGCTCAGGGGGGAGTCCTGGTTCAAACTTTGGCAGTAATGCTGGATTAACAAATGTTCATCATCTCTGGAAAATAAAATCAAAGGTTTTGGTTTTTTCTCCCCCTTATTTTGCTTTGGGGGTCAGGGACTCAGGTGTGAATTTAAAAATAGAAACATTTGCTCTTAACCATTAATTAGACCCCTTTTCCTATTTCTAAAGACATTTTGAGACTTTTGAGCTTGTGATCTATGATCTTATTGGTGACAATTCAAAGTATTTCTTGCTCAAATTTTCAAATGAATTTGATTGGCCTATTTACATGGGCAAATGAGTAGCAGAATTACAGAAATACTGGGACTCTTACGTTGACTGTTCAACCAACAGTTAACAGATATTAAAAGACATAACAATGGCTCTATAATGCTTTTACTACCAAGCCTGTCAAGATAATCTGTTCACTAACCCACGCTCTTGTTGACAATGACCAGGAAAAACAACCCTGCAGCCTTTACAATAATTAATATTTTTTTCAGGGGAGGACAATGTGACCACAAAGTGTTGCTTTGCTAATAAGCCAGTTTGAACTTACAAAAGCCATAGAGGCAAGATGGTAACAATAATGAAACTGGAGACAAATGATGGTTTCATTCAATTATTGTTCAGAGAGAAAAACAAAAACTAGAAGGAAAAAAAAAAGCCACTGGGATGACTAATTAAAAGAAGACTGAGCATCTCATTCTTTAGAATAGCTTTTAAGGACTAATCTTCAGGAACAAAGAAGCAAAAGGCTTACATTTGGGGAGGCAGCTGCAATGTTTCCTTAAAACTAGGAACTCTCTAATACACAGGAGAAATTATTTTCTAAATGTATTGCTCCTAGCTCCTTAGAAGCCTGTGCACATCTAAGTTATAAGAACTTCATTCTGTTCTTAATGAGAGGCTAAAGCTCTTTGTTTCTCGTTAGATATGAGTAGGATGGTATGTTAATATTCCCCTCTCTAAGTCTTCTGAGTTGAAAAACAATTCATGTATTCAGGAAAAAATGACTTAAATGATTTTGGTCTGTCAAGCCAGGTAATTGGTTGAGAAGTGAAAAGTTGTCTAAAAATAATTATTGGGTGTTAAAAACCAACATTTAAGTGAAGTCAACCAATCCCCCAAACAACTTCCCCAGATCTGCCCCCAAAAGGTCATGGTAAAGTTTTACCATCTAATACGGAGTCAAAATGCATTTTATGCCCTCAGAATGAGCTAAAGCTAAATTTCATTTAACAATTGTAAAAAGATGTTTTACTACCTAATTTATTATCCCTCTTCCCAAATTCTGAAATTTTATTGCAAGAACTTCCTGTGTTTAATTACAACAGAGCTATAATTAAATTTCTCTTACTGTTCTCTCAGGCAGGCAGTCAACGGCAGCCATTATTATACAGATACAACTTGAAATGATTTGAATGTGCTAGAGCTTCTAATCACCAAAAGTGGTGACACAAAGAAGCAAATCATTCAGGTTGTTTACATTTGGTTGATTCTTTGGCCACATATTTTCCTGTCAAAGTATTTTATATACTAAACCTACTAATACTTATCCCCATAACTGAGAGAGAGAATGTACCACAGTTACTTTTGTTTGGGGAAAAGGTTGTTTTCGTTTTAAGTAACTCAGTCATATACAAACGACTGAGTGTCGACTTGATTCAACACTCACCTTGGCAGGTGATCACCTTTAGCTACCAGATGATTTGTTCTCATGTCTTCAATAACCAGCTATGTATACATGCCACTCGGATACTATTTCCCTCAGCCTAATCCTTACAAAGGCTCTTGCCTTATCGGAGTGTGACGCTGGGCTGCCACACCAACGACATGATAAATTTACCACTCATTCTTCCCTTTGCCTAGATTCTCCATGACAAAGTGGTGAGACATCCGTAACTTATCGAAGTAGAGACACTGCTGTGCTTTGAATAGATTTTTTTCCCCCTCTCTCTAAATTATCTATTCGGTTAGCAGATCCTTATCTTTTCCTACATATTAGCTTCTTAATCGGCTCCCTCCACCTCGGGCCCTTGGTTCATGGCACTGTTCCTCTGTGTTCCTCAATATGAACACTTCCCCAACTCAGTAAGAAAGACACTCTTTCCCTGTTACCATTTCTGGCACTGCGCTCTCTCTTCCCTTCTATTTGACAGGCCTGGCTTATCAGTCCACTAGACAACTTCGACCTAAATTTGTACTTCCTCTTCTGAAACCCTTCACCAGATTGCCTCACCTGATTTAGCTAGCGAAGATGCTAAATCACAAAAATCTACTACTTCGGATCTCTGAAGGAAAATGCCCAACTAACCTACCAGATGGGAACACCAATGCAACCATACCAAGATTACATGTCCGCTCCCGGAGTGGAGAAAATACTACTTAGCCATCACTTTTAAAAATTAATATCCAACCCCTTTAAATATCTGGCAGGTTTGGTCAAAGATTAAGCATTTCGTATAATTTCCATATTTGAGCCTCTGCAACTTGTGATAATCCGGTATTAAATAAGGCCCACTGTTTTTGCTACTCTGGAATACCAGTAATGCCACATTTTGGATGAGCTCATTCCGTGTCAGGTGGTTAAGAGTCAAAGGAAAAAAAGTCAACGAATGGCTCCTTGAAAGATCAAGTGAGTCTAATGCTAATTCCTATCTTCTGCACTACCCTACCTCTAAAGCCCTCAAAGCAATTTCATCGTCAGGAACATTTTGTAAAAAGAGACAGGATACTTACATGCTCTCATTAGGAGAGATGCTATCATTTAGATAAGATCCATTGCTGTTTTCCATTTCTGCTAGCCTGATAAAAAACGTAAAAGCTCATTAAAACTTATGTGATTTCTTAGAATCTATTCAAGACCTAATCGAACATTCCTGAAAACTAAAGGATAAATCATGTCAAGAAGAGAAAGGATTCCTTCAAATTAAAGAATGTGTGTGTTGCCCTAACCATTTGACGCAGTGAGTGGTGGACCCCAGCTAGTTAGGAGCTTTACATTTATGCTATAAATTAAAAGGGAAGTTGTACTTGGTTGTTTTTTTCTTCTTCTTCTTCACAAATTGATCTTGCTTTCACCGAGAGCAGGCCTTTGTTTTTACAAGAAAAGCTTCCCTACCAACAAATACACTGTACCTTCACTACCCCTTGTTTTTTAAAGACAATTAAAGCTTTCCCCTGATGACAGACTTATATAGCTAGTTAATGCTTCCCACGGTTGACAAACACGTTTAGCAGTTAGACTACTGATAAAGGATGGACTCATAGCAAGCTCTCTGAACAGTCTGCCAATTTTTACCTTCAAAAACCTCCTTCCCCTCAGACAATAATAAAATCTTCTTACCACTAAAAAATAAAAAAAGTTAACCAAACTCTCACAGACTTCTTTAACGAGCATAAGATAGCTTACAATTAGCAATTCGGTTTTTAGGCATAAAAATTCGCTGAAACACAAAGAAGGTGGGACAAAAAGTTGCACGGATTAGGAAATTAATTATTCTTTTCTTTACAGCATCTGATGCTAAATAAGCACGCAAATAGAAAGCTAATGCTTTCATATGCTCTAGAGAACATAGTATCATTTCTTCACCCATGGATGGTTGGTCTAGCAGTTTTCTAAGAAGGTGAGATGATTTCTAAGCCAATTCTTTAAACGTGCTCCATATGCAAAACATAGCAAAGCTATCAGAAATGTTTAAAGGCCAGGATGAGGGGAGATTGTTCTGGACTAATGCTCTTACTGGTGTTCAAAAACAGCATGCAGTGGAATGGCATGCAAGTTAGAGGGCAAGTGGATTAGTAGAAATCAGACAAGATTGGGGGGGAAAAAGAAAAGGTTTGTTTCAAATGATTATAGGTTAGCTTTCCTTGGTTAGTTATTTCAATCAATATTTGCCTGGCATTCAACTAGTCTCATACCTGCTAGCATAATGTTCAATGCGTGAATGAGTATCATCGTGTGAAAGCTGAGGGGACGAGGCGGGCCTATAAGGCAGAAAATGTGATTAGTCACAGATACCATCCATTAATGGAGAAAAAAAACCCCACCACACAGTCATGTTATATATATGGCCTAAAATGCTTTTCTTCTAATGCTGTGGATAATGCACACATTTGGTTGTTCCTATATCTTAGATATATCATCAACTATTTTAAATCCAAGGTTGAGAGGTAATTTCTCATACTTCTCATTTTTTTTCCCAAAGCCATCAAAAGAGATCAAAATCTTCTCTGGAATGTTTCAATTATAGAAGGGTGGACGATCTCTTTGTGACATTTTTTCCTCCTACCTTGTCATTTCTTACATCCTATAGTTCTGAGACTATGTTGGCACTAGGTGGTTAAAAATTTTAAGTAGTTTCCCCCCCCGCCACGCCATTTATTAGCTGCCTTCTTACTGAATGGAAACTGTACTTTTGCTTAGTACGTTTACAGTCAACGATTTTAATTCCCAGGAGGCCAGGCCAGGCTCTGTTAAGATCCCACACATCAGGATATCTTGGTCTGTGCTGTTTTGTAAGGAAGTAACATATCCACCAATGTAGTACAATTTAGTAGCAGGATCATATTACTACTTCACAAAATAAAACTGAATGACCCACAATGATACTGCGATGTTTTAAAAAAAGAACGACTAAATCCAATAAAATGTCACAATATCTGCAGTATTTCTTAGTAGGGATACTGTGTGCTAACATACAGAGAAGAAAACTAGAGGGGAGCGTTAGCATGAATAGTCCATATGCTTTTGGGGTGTAAAACCCTACTTTTTTTTTTTTAAGCTCCAGAGACTAAGAAATTTGGTAAGGTTAATATTTTCCCTACCCTTTTGTATCTGATCTATTAACTACCCTTGAAGTTTTTATGGTATCTTTTGGATTAACCTTAGGAAAAAAAAATCCATCTGTTCTGAAAACCAGTTTGGACTTGTGCTTTTCGGTCGTAAATGGAATAAGACAAAAGTTCTCTTCCATTTCTGTCCTGACACAGAAAGCCCGTACATAAAGGCATGGATCCAAAAGTCCCCAGTAACCTATTCAGTGAGGACTGGTTTAGCCCAGCGTCTAAACACCATTAATGGATGTGGTCAAAACACTAAGAAGAATACATTTGTTTTTACTTACATGGAAAAAAACAACAACATGTAGTTATCTAGGCTTACCTAGGAAATAAGCTCGAAATCCCTATTCCTTAAAGAAGACACGCAATCCTAAAATGATTACAACACAGTATAGGAAACAACTAGGGAACTGAGATCTTCCTTGAAATATAAATGTCTCATTTATGAAACCAGTGTTGTCTAGGTCAAGTGTCACTCTAATCCAATTTGTAATGAACTACAAAGACCTTTAAGCTGTCATGAGGAAACAAGGATGGCCACCCAATTTACTAGGCAGATCCAAAGATTTCCGTGTGAATCTTCACTCTAGTTTGGTAGAGTTCACATCATTTCTTAGAATCCTGGAATAGTGCATTAGAAAAATGCTAAGGTTTGTTTTAAAATATTCACAGCAGGTCAAAATAATTTAGTACTTGGATCATTTAGTTTATAAGCCCTATCTTCAGGAACAAACCAGTTTTTCATTTACATACTTCTTTTTTTTTTCTCATTTACATACTGCTGATAAGCTAAAAGTCTACCAGGAAGAAAATGGTTAAGTGTTTTCCTTTCTAATGGTTGCTACCTTGGTAGTGTACAGAAGAAAGAAAACCTGAGACCTTTGAGCATAACTATACCAAGAAAACTAGGCATGTAAATCCAAAACACTTTAGTAAAATCTTATACAGAAAATATTATGCAGCACTTTAATTCTTAGCCTTGAGGCTAATTCCATGTGATTTTTGTTATTAAGTAGCACCTAACACAGCATGCATAAGCACAGGAACTCCTAAAAAAAAAAAAAAAGAAGTACCCTAAAGGAGGTACCTATTAGACCAGAAAATGAGCCAAAAGGGAGTACTGTTCAGAGAAGGAGCATTTAAAAAACCAAGAATAAGTAGAAAACCACTTAGTCCAGAAACAAAACTAAATGCAAAGCCTTCTGAAACACTTTTCCGAGAGATGGTAAGAACACTGTTCTCCCTTCCTACTTCCTACACACTAAACGATATACCCAGAAGGATTAGTCCTGTTATTATTAATGGCCAATTCCATCCCCACCCACCACCGGTTTCTCTTTTGTGAAAACTCCATTAATAAGTTTTCATCCGTTTAGGTTTCAAAGCAGAATAGCTCAAAGGATACTGTTTGTCTCATTTCTGGGCAAACAATATAAAAGGTTTAGGCTAGATTTAGTTATTAAGAAAAATATGACAAATACAGGTAAATAAGGGTTTCCGCTGAGGAAAAACAAAAGATCTGTATCTCAGTCAACGTTCAAATTCTGTGATCCACATGAGAATCTGTTAACATCAGAGGGAATTCTTGCAAAAATGAAGTCACCTCAGGACCTGGTTCTTCTGTCTAAATAGGAGAGCTCTGCAATATATTTTATAAATTATTTAAAATCCCCTGAGTAAAGACTTTAATAAAAATGCTGGTATTAAAGAAATAGGGACCATAGCCTGCTGGGTCTGGTTTTCTTCCTCAAAAGGATAATTTCCCACTATTTCTGAATAATTGAACAGACTTTTTATAAAAAGGCAAAGTGATTCTGTTTTAGTTTCTAGAGGAAGATACTTTAATATAGGATGTTATTAATTTGATAGTTCTTCAAAGTTGAAGACAAACACCCTCTACTTAAAATAAGTGACATTAAACTCACTTGTCATGTTTTTTCTCATTAGTTGATATATTCAATAAACTTTTTTTTTCCATTCAAGGAATTGTTATTTTTTGCTTATCATTTTGTGTTACCTCTATCCATGCATTTTTAAAGTTATTCTGTAGCACATTTGCCTTTTGGATATTTCAACTGGCTAAAACTTATTCCAACACAGAATAAATCCATTCACTTAGTGAGGATTTCAGTCCATCAGTTTGTTTCGAAGTTTTTCATTTAGGAAAGGTTCAAACTTCTATAAATAAATAAACTACCTGGGGTTTTGGGAAAACAATTACCTACGAATAGCAAAAAACCAGAAGTGAATCTAAATAATTCCCCTTGATGAGTAAAAAAATCAGGTATAGGTACCATATCTCAAAATTAAGGGGCACAATAATGCAGCTTTAACAAAGAAAGGGACGCCTTACAATTCTTTTAGGCCAATAAAGACTTAAAATAAACCTCAATTAATAACTTGCATTTATCACTACAGGATTTTTAAAAAAGGATATACTTTAAATTAAATTACATGGTGGAGCAATAAAAGAGACCCAATAAAAATAAATTGAGTTCTTCTAAATTGGTCATTTCCTTCTCTCTATAATAGAGCTGTCTGACTTTAAATATTTTAATTAAGTACGCTCTGAAATAACAAAACTTTGTTATAAAAACTCCACACAATGTAACTTTAAAACAATGCACGCTTTGTTTGCTAATATATAAATCACCGACTCCCCAGAGTTTTCTAATAACATTATAAACTCTAAGATAAACCAATTATCTGTTGGTATCTAATATTAGCATTATTAATGTACACCAATAGTGTATAGTATACTTTCCTTCCAGTTGTAAATGTATAAGTATTTACGAGCTGAATATTTAGTTTGGAGAGGAGAGCAAAGTGAGTTTAGTTCAAAACTGAGAAACTCGTGTGTATATGTGTATGAAGATTAGTCCGGTAGCATGATAAGAAGTACACACACCTGACTGAAATTATTCCATCAATCTCCACATCCTACTATAAAACAAATTCTGCTGATTTGTAATGGTCCACTTGTAACAGGCCCTAAAGAACAAACCGTCATCCTTTTGAAAGTCCTGAAGTATTGAATCTCAAAAAATATGGCTCAAGAATGTTGTTATGCAATCAGAGGAGCTTATCATGGAAGAATACGTAAACATGTCTCTCAGGAACAGAACTAACAACCCATTTGTTTCTTTGATGACTGACTCCAGGCCAGGATGTCTGCTGGTTAAAACCTGACCAGGTAGGGACCTGGAAACCTCACTCTGATTCTCCCGCTCTGTGGTGGATGGCACTCTAAACGTCTTACCGCGGGAAGGAAAAAAATGAAATGAAGGAAGGGAAAATTAATGTGTCCTTAAAAACCAAACCAAACCAACAGAAAAAAAGATTGTCAAATCAAGCAAGCAAATGTGTTGGTGGTAGCAGCCCCCTTCAGCAGAAGTACTCACGCAGAATCTACCGGCCAGAAGTTGATCAGAGTAACAGGACTGCAAAACAAAAAATGAGGTGGTGAAGAGAGACACAGGCAAACTCAGCCACTAAATAAATAAATAAATAAATAAATAAATAAATAAATAAATAAATAAATAAATAAATAAATAAATAAAATGAATTAATTAAAAAAATACTGAGAGGTCAAAATAAATAAAATCCAACCAATTAAGAATGAACCATGAAAGCAACGGCCAAACAAAGGTGGAGAGTGAGGTGAAAGAAAAACAAGTGTGCGATTGCCATCCGTTGGGAAACACGAGAAGGTTGCAGAGAGGTGGAGGTATCATCATTTTGATCATGAGAATCATTGCTACTTACTGTGACGAAACTTCCTGTGAGTGTCTTTTCTTTCAAGGAGATAAAAGCAACTAGGTATGACCACACAATCAGATACAAAAAGACAGACGCCTAGTGATTTGTGAGGAAGACCGAAATGAAAGACTGGAATCACTCATTTGTAAACAGTCCCATATTTCTTATAAGGGAATTCGTAGCTGTCGTGTACTTTCTTTCCTGTGAGATCAGGTTTCACTTTGGAACAGGTAAGTGTCACGGGACAACTAACGTGGGAAAATGGCAATTGACCATCAGCTTGTTTTTCTCTTTTCGGCTAAAGTAAATCTAAAGAAAGAAATAGGAGAGACTGTTTGCATTTGGGAGTGAAGGAGGGCATTCAGCTGAGAGGAGCTCAAATATATGTCAAATGAGAGACTGCTTTGCGCTCGCCACTACTCACGTTTCCATGTTGTCCCCCTCTAAGACCGTCTGCACTGGCAGGTAGCCCATTCGGGGATGCTTCGCAAAATACCTTTTGGTTCGAAATTTGTTTTTTAGTACCTTGGCAAAGTCACGAACATCTTCTCCCGATGTAGTCTGAAAGGGAAAGTGCACTGAGCTCAGACCTACAAAAGTACGATCTCAAGGTAAAAGAGTACTCACTCCAGTGCTCTGCTTCAGCGCACTTGTTCCGTAACTGAAGAGACAGTGGGGGTCAAGAGCCAAGTCTATAGACAAAAACAGGGCCGGGCATAGCAGTAACTAGTAACTCTCCAAGGCTCCGACCGCCTGTAAAATGGCTGCAGTAATATCTCAACAAGTTGTTATGGCGAAAAACAAGTGTAGCAACTACGAGGGCTACTCGATCAATGGGAGTTTGTAGAACTCTTAAGTTGACCTTAAGTTTGGCCACACTTTGCAGTATTTTAAAAACGATTCTGTCCACAGTGATGTCACGTTTCACCCACTGAGTATCATTCTATTCACTGCGTGGCTCATTCTTCATCACTGAATGCCTTTGTAAGAGGAATCCAAGTGAGAGAGACAGCGAAAGACCTGGGTCATCGCTCTAATGATGGAAGAGAGAAAGAAGAGCATAAAAGTTTGAGAGCAGAGCTTCTCAAACTTTGCTGTGCATGGCATCCACCTGCAGATCTTGCAAAAATGCAGGGCGGATTTACGAAGCCAGGGGCAGGGCCTGAGCTTTTGCATTTCTAGTAAGCTCCCAGGTAATGTCAGTGCCACGGAGCGGGCACTGAATAGCAAGCAGGTAGTGTTTAAAGAACATCACATTTACACCCATGTGTGTCTGACCACCAAGTCTATGTCCTTTCCACGTCACCAGCGATTCTTTCAAAGTTCTATGAGCCAATGAACGCTTCCCCAAAACAACATCTTGGGAGAAAGCTCCACCTCCTAATTATAGAGCCCTGGGCAAATTATTTAACCTTAAGACCGCAGAGTCCTCATCTGTAGGAAGGGGATGATAATAATAATACCTACTTCACAGAGTAGTTTAAAAGGCAAAGGCACACGCATGTACATATATATGTATATATACATACACAAATAGTAAAAATAAGTAAATAAATAAAAAGGCAAATGCCTAGCATGAGTTAAGCAAGACTGACTGAAAGCAATGGATAAGAGGTTCAGAGGAACCCCACATCACCCCCTACCCCAACACCCAGCACCGCCCCAAGGCCATGAAACGTCTCCACACAACTGCTAGGGCTGTGCAAAATCAACGTGAAAACGTCTTCTCGGCACCACCCCACGCACTAGGATCAAGTAAATCTGGAGCCTACAGTGAGGAGCCACTTTAGCTGGGGAACATCCGGGGAACTCATAAACCCCAGCATCACACATCATTTGCAATACTGTGCAGAAGGGAAACTCCTTCCAGGCGAGCAAACTCTCACGCCAGGGAGGCATCTGACTTACCGGAGTGCAGTATTCCACCATGGGGTAGTGCATTTTATGGCCTTTTGCAACCCGACCAGAAAAAAAGCAACTTTGGCAGATGTCATAGTTAAAGTGCTTTAGACTCCTGTACCTGGTGAAAAACAAAAACAAACACATATGTATTTCTTCAAATCCAATTCCCAAAGAACGTTCTTTAGTAAACCTTCTTCCACATGGTCTTAATTCATGAAACAGAATGCAATGTTCATTAATCCCACAGGTAAGTGATTAACTTCCTCCATCTACATATCTCTGGTGCTCCTCCTTCAGTATCAAAACATTCTGGCAGGAAGACTATCCTATAAACATATGGAAGGAGGGAAGAAAACTTCAGCTCTCATTTAAACTCCACGAGGAACCCTTTCAGATTAAGTAGGAAGATACTGGCAACCTTCCAGTCTTTTGAAGACCAAATGCAAGATTTTGAAAGAACTTCCAGGAGAGAGAGATGGATGCACTGCAGGCCCCCTACCCATTCTGGGGACAAACATTTTTCTGAAGCAATTATTTTCAAAACAATTTATCATGAGGAAGCAATTTCACAAAATAAAGGCAAATGAAACAAGGACTCTCACTGAAAATGCATCTTGCTTTAATCACATTTTCTGATTGACTGGCATGATTCACCTCCAGGTAGTTACTTGGATAATCTCTTTTATGTCTCTCTCTTCAGAACCGCCCCCACCCCCTCACCCTGCACCACCACGTTACCCACAAATGATAAGTGAAGCCCCAAGAAAAGACAAACTGGGGCTGGCTAAAAGCAGCTGTAATCTGTAAGTACGAGGTGGTACGTCCGCCCCCATTCTCAGCAGACGCTATTATTTCCTATTCTCCCTGCCTTTTGCTTTCTCAGATAAGAATGCTAGCCAATTCAAATAAACATATTCCTTCTGCCACATATGGGGATGTGGGGAAAAAGCTACCTTTTTTAGATCCCAACCATCTTTTGAGAGGGGGAGGAAGAAAGAGAAGCGCCGCTTCCCAAAATAATCTAATTCGATAAGGGCAAAAGAATTAAAGGCAACAGCACTCTCAGATCCTCCAAAGCACCCCCGTTTCCTATTTTGTGAAACCTCCCCCTGCACATAAACCTCACTAGCTAGCCAGGGAAGCTGACAGCAGAAAGGTAAGTGTTGGAACGCAGTCCCCTGCGGTTTCCCCTCCCCATCTCCCCTGGCATTGTTTGTACGGGCCAGAAACCAGGAAGGAAGGAAAACTGTGTCCTTTGTGAGTACCGTCTACTCAGGGTTGTCCAGCTAGGCTTTAGAAACCTCTAAGGGTTTTTGCGAAAACCTCTTGGTCACAACATGAGGTACAGAAGGACAAACACCAGGGGTAAAAGAGGAGTGAATACAAAGCACACGAATGGTACGAAGTAGTTATTAGGAAGCAAAGAAATAAAACAAGTCTGAGCAGAACTAGAGAAAGAGTATTTACTTAGCTGTTAAGTGGATTCTGAACAGGCACAGACCATAAAGCTAGTTGACAACTGGACGGCTGAGTCATTGCTAGGGAAACCCAGTTGTTGATCCAGATGTTGAAATACAGCATCATTTCAAAATCTAGATTTGGGATTCTTGTTCAGTAAGATTAATTCATTTAACAATATCCCCTCTCTCCCAAAACAGGTCACCGAGGCTGAAGATTTAAGAGCCAACTGTTTTCCGTGACATTTTTAAGAATATCAGAATAACCTGCTATGCTTCCTATCTCTTTCCCTTTTAAATTTACAAAGAATCTTTCCCTTTTTTAAGCTGCTTTGTGAAATTTTCATTTACTTGCATACTTTATATTCCCTTAGAAGTTCATTAGGATACTAGGCCAAGAGTGTAATCAGATTCACCAATCAAGAAGTACGTTCTGGGTTGCTTGAAACAATTCTTGTGAGTTCAGGGAGGAAAAGTGGGACAAAGTGAATAAGAAACTGAACTACCATGACAGGTCTCCCCAAACAAAACCATCTCTTAGTCTTAGAACTGATTCCTAGAGAATTTCTAGCAACAGAAAAAAAAAAAAAAAAACAACAACCCAAAGAGATGGTTAACACTGGCCCCGGGAAGGAGGCGGCACCGTGAATCAGCATTCCCCTGCCGCAGAGGTATCTCTGAGGAGGCAGGTGGTCAGTCGGTCCTGCAGAGCTCCACAATGAAGGTGCAAAGGGCCACCTGCCTAATGAGTCAGAGCCACCAAACTAGCCCAGGGACCAGGGCAGTCACTTGGGAAAGGAACAAACTGACAGCAACTGGCACAGGAGATAAAAGATCAAATCTGAAAAAGGTGAGAGACACGAAGAAAAAAAAACAATGCCATTTGGGGGGTTCCTGATACCTGAATCCGATGATGGGACACTCCTTGCAGATGTTGCACTTGGCTTGGTGCTTGGCAGTCTCCGCGGCAGCCACCCGGTGCAGGACGGGCAGCCACACCATGGACTGGGGCTCCAGTCGCATCCAGTCTAGGAATAGGGCTGCTTCGATCTCAGGCTTATTATTAGCCTGTGCAGGACAGGAGGAAAAGCAAAGGGGGGGGGGGGCACGGGGCAAGAAGAGAAAGAAGGGGAGAAAGGAAAGGAGGCACATGTCAGTACAGACCAGACATTAAGAAATTCAGAACAGCGGTGGTGCGATGAGACCCACTTTTCACAGCCTGTTTCTGCCAATGCCCCCCTCGCAGCCACACGAGCCACCTACCCCCTAAGGCTTGGGTAACCTGCCATTACTCTGTTCGGCTGCTGGATGACGAGAAAGCGAAGCAAAACCAACATGTGGAGAAAGGCGAGCAAAATACACACCTGCGCCTCGACACTCCCTTTAGCTCCAGTTTCGGAACAGATACGTAAGAGTGAGCCAGAAGTAAAATGCCGAGTGTTTATCGATAACATTTCAAAGGAGGTTAAGGAAAAACCAACTCAGGAATTATTGATTCCTTGTTTTTTCCTAGACGATCTATTTCTCAGTGTTTCATGGAATCATAATGAAGAGGCTTTAAAAAACACTGGCTCCTGGAGCTTCATTTTACAGACGAGAAAACTGAGACACACGTGAGGGAGGTAGCATTTCAAAGGCCATACAACAGACTAGGAGCTGAGATGCTCCTAGAACCCAAACCTCCTGCTCTACTGCTGTTTACTCGTTAACCCTACAAGATGGCGTCTTAATTTTTTTGTGTTGTTAGATTGACCAATATATTGGCCACTTTTTCTTTCTTTTTCATTGCTTCTTTTGTCTCACATTTTCCATCTGGGATCCTTTCTGCCTAAGTATATCCTTTAGAATGTTCTTGTAAGTGTCATGTTGGAGGAGAATTTCTCAGGTTTTGTTTGGTCTGAAAAATCTCCTTTTTAAATCCATATTCTTGACAGCTATTCACATTGGGTATAGATTTTTAGACTGAAAGGGTTTCTTTTTTCTTTTTTTTTGGTTTTGTCTCTATTTTGTTTTAGCACACTGAATTATTATTTCACTTTTATTTTACTTTCTCTGTTGTTACTGTTAGGAATTGTCCTTGGTAAAGCGGACTATTGCTCCTTTGAAGGTAATCTGTCCTTTTTTTCCTATCTTGTGTTTCTAGGGTTTATTTATACTTTTTTAGTATTCACTGGGCTTCTTGAATCTTTAGCGTCTCTGGTCAGCTCTGGAATCTTCTCAGTCATGATCGCAACAAATAATGCCTCGTCTCCATTTCCCCTCTGTTCTGCTTACAGAAATCTATTAGATAAACGTTAGACTCTCTCAACCTGGCCCATGTTGGTCTGCATAGGCCCTCCTTGTGCTTCATTTCTAACAATCCCTTCAATCTCTTTCTCTCTTTGGTAGCATCCAGTCTGCTGTTAAGCCCAAACAGTAAGTTTTAAATTTTGGTTATTGTACTTTTTAACATCTACAAGTTCTATTTGGTCATTTTTAAGGTCAGTTCTACAAAGTCTGTGGCTCCCTGCAGATATTTTTCAATCTTAGCTGTTATTTTTTTTTTTTTTAACAGAGTAAACATGGTTTTCAAAACACCATCTATTGATTCCAAAGTATGAAATTACTATGGGTCTGCTCCTGCAGTCTGCTGTTTCTGCTGGTTCTCACTCACCTTGGGTTCTTGGGTGCTTAATTTTTTTTTATTATGTACTACATTGACCTTAAAAAAAATCTTCTGGAGATACTTTGAGCCCTAGAATGCAAGTGCTTTCTACAGAGAGGATGTTCATTTGCTTTTGCCAAGAACCAGAGAACACTGCCAATTCCAAGACCGATTGAAACTGAACATAGGGAGGGGTTATTTAGTATCAAACAAGTAATGAGTATCTACATTGCAAACCCATGTTGCTTCTCTTGGAATGTGGTTCGCTAATGACAAATCTATTCCTACACTGCAGAAAGGCAATAGGGCTTGGACCGAGAAGTCATTTGGCTTGCAAAGCTCTCCACTTCAGCACTAGTCCAGCCGTTACCCCTGACTATAAATTTAACAACATTATAATGAGGTATTTGACCTTGAATTTCCTAGCTGCAGAACGCTATCAATTCGAGGTACTGATCAAAAGCTTTTGTGGAGGAGCACTTTCCTCTGTGCAGAGTGCCATCACAGAGGCACTCTGTGGAAAACTGGGGGGAAAAAAATCATGGAACCTAAAGATGAAAGGGACCATGCAAGTGAACTCATCCTTTTGGAATGGCACCAACTCTTATGTGATGCCACTGTTTTCTGACAGCCACCATATAAGTGTCAGCCGTACCAGGGAGCCAACATCCTTAATGGATGACCTTGAACGCCTGAGCAGAAGTACCCCTGTCGAAAGTGCTTCATCACACATAGCTGAAATCCAAGAGCAGAGCGGAGGCTGCGGAATCCAACCACCAAGAGTTCAAAGCCCAGCTCTGCCATTTACTGGCTGTGTGACCTTGGAGAAGTAAATTTACCTTTCTGGGTCTTACTTTTCCTCTGCCTTGAGATGGAACTATGAATAGCACCTGCCTCATAGGGTTGTTTTAAGATTTAAAGGAGTTAAATGAAAGGTGCGTGGAATGGTGGCTGGCACATAGCAAGAGCCACACTCGTGTGTGCCACTGTTACCCTCACTGTTGTTGTCTGTCCCACCAGGAACCCAGAGGGTCTCAGGCTTTGTGGAGCCTTTTCTTTCTTTTTTTTTTTTTAATTTTTTATTTATTTGCGAGAGAGAGAATGAGAGACCGATAGCCTGAGAGGGAGGAGGGTCAGAGGGAGAAGCAGACTCCCTGCCGAGCAGAGAGCCCAATGCGGGACTCAGATCCCGGGACTCCAAGATCATGACCTGAGCCGAAGGCAGTCGCTTAACCAACTGAGCCACCCAGGCGCCCTTTGTGGAGCCTTTTCAATATTTTACCTGAGCGGTCATGTCTGTCCCATGCCTCTTCATTCCTGTTCCTTTTATTTTATTTTTAAAGATTGTGTTTATTTGAGACAGAAAGAGGGGGAGGGGCAAGTGGGGGGTGGAGAGAGAGAGCGAGCGAGCAAGCGCAGACCCCACGCTGAGCGCAGAGCCCAACCAGGGGCTTGATCTCCCAACCCTGAGATCATGACCTGAGCCGAAACCAAAAGTCAGACGCTCAACTGACTGAGCCACCCAGGGGCACTGCTCCCCCCCCATTCCTTTTATTTCTCATAGGACATGCCCTGGTTTGCCACTGTCCTTTAGAAGACTACTCTCCAAATATGATCTGTTGGGAATGAATGGTACCTCCACTTGTCTGGACAGTAGGATTGGATGACTTTCTTTTGTTTTGTATTCTAAGCTCACACAGGGTTTCCACTCAAGTAAAATCTCTGGGTCAGTGCTTCCCAGTGCATCCAGCAGATCAGTCATCCAACAAAGTGCTTCATGAAAAGATGATCAAATTAATTATGGAAACACTGCACACTGTATCTGCCTCTTAAAATGCTTAATGCATGTTAACATATTAAAAGCTGAGAAGGTTGCTGGTAAAGAAACACGTTAAACTTTGTTTGACCTCAGAATTTCCCACACTAATTATTCAGTGATCCCAAGACCTTTATCTTCTTTTTTTTTTTTTTTTTTTTTAACTTTTCAGGCTTATGAACAGCACAAAGTACTAATGCTGTGGTGGGTATAATGGGAAATGCTGTTCTTGGCGGTTTCCGGTGATTCCTCTACTCTCTGCTTGTTCATCTGGGATTGGTTTCTTTCACCTTCGTCAAGGATTTCCTGTTAGTCTGAGCCCAATGCACAAGTGCAGCAAACTCCTGCAAAATCCCGACTCTCACGGCCAACAGACAAGCCATTCTTCCCCACTTGGTGTAATTTTTACATTTTTAAAACTTACTTATTTTTAAACAATTTTTACATTTGAAAACATGTGTTCTGTCCTCATCAGAAAGTCCCTGGTGAAAGTATCAAGCAGGCCGAGGTCAAACAGGAGCCACACACCGTGACACCTCGCAGCTCAGCTCCACAGAAAGCCAGCCTTCAGCCTTCTCTGGTCAAACTAGGCCTCTTGCCGGTTCTGTCACTGTGCAGGCTCCTGCACACGTTTCTCTATCTTGTACACAAAGACACAATGATAGATTGTGTCAAAGGAACTACAAGTTTCAGCTACAATATGTCCTATGACAATCTCCTGCTCCATTGGTCTAGAAACCAACTTTATCAAAATAACCCTTTCTAGCGAGGAGACAAGCCAGCACAGAAAGACAGTAAACTGAAAAACATTACTAAGTCATTCCTATTTGAAACATGGATTTACTGTCGCTTCATCTGAACCTATATATAAATTTTTCTGACTGAGGCTGAAATGAGAGTTTGTTTAATGATGAATTAATAGATACACTATAAAAATTCAGGCTTAATACAGGAAGTGTGGTAAGAATAGAACGCTTCTAATCATTCCAGAAGATGGAAAGTAAAAATCCGACCATGAGTCAGCAACAAATGTAGGTGGAGAAACATAAAAAAGAAAAAAAGCAACGCCATGACTATGATGTGTAACTGAAGGCAAGCGGGGAGAGTGTGAGGAAATGGTCTCATGACCCTCAGCACTGTTCAAACCCGCCTTAGAAAACGTGGTCGAGTTCTGGGGACTACAGCTGACCCAGAATTCAGAGAAGGCTTGGCAGAAAGGCATAAGGATAATTAAAGGGTTTGAAAGACCTATGAGAACAGTTTAAGGGAATTGGGATTATTTAGCCATGAACAAAAAAAGAGAACGAGGAAGAAAGAGTGGCTGAAGGGGCAATTTAATAACAGTTTTCAATTATGTGAATGGCTCTCGCATTGGGGCCTGTGACCAGCTGTTCGATCCCTCCACTGAGGACAGAACAAGAAGGAACAGGCTTAAGCAGCATGAAGAATTTAGGCTGTAACTCATACAGAATTTCGTGATGCAGAAAGTTGTTAAAGCATTAGGGTGAATTACCCAGGGAAGCTAGAGAATGTTCTCCTCTTTCAAAATACTATAGATTCTCTTGTGTTTAAAGGTTGGAAATTCTCAAGGTTCTTCCTCGCTCCTAG